TTAAAATTTGTGATTATTTTCGGCGTTTATGTAAGAATAATGTCTGATGACTAACATCCAAAGGGGTGTTCGAAGTTGAGAGAGGGGACGGGAATATAGAGCCGTTAATAATTGTGGTGTTGACACATTATCAGAGTTTATGTTTACCTGTTACTTATTATGTGTCACCATTTAAGTACTTGATTGTGACTAACTCATTTATGAGATCATATTACTGCGTGGAAAATAGATTTTTAGAACATATGCCATCTGAATTGCTTTATTTATATTTTTCTCCTTTCATTAAGATAACTGTTCACATCAAATTTTTCGAAGATTGGGATTTAAATTTACGCCCTATATACTTCCTTTTTTAATTGAAATTTCCAATTTCAATTTGATTAATCTATTCCCAATTTCCATTATTTTTCTTGTTGTACATTCAAAATCCCTGTGTTTAATTTTATGTTCTGTATATTCTCTTTCAATCGCGACAAACTTAGATATAGCAAGGAATGCAAACTAAAAACTAGATTAAAGTATATAGACCAAAACTATTTAATTTTTGGAAATCACTTATTTGACTGGGACTCAGATGTGTTAACTTGTATTTAAACTATAAGTATTTTATTATTAGGAGATCCCCTTGATTCCTAGGAATCATCTACAACTCGAATACCTACGAAATTCTTTTATGATCCATTTTAGCCTTAGGACCACATCGATCCTGAGATCAGTGTAATGTATAAAATAAATCTATAAATAATTATAATAGGTAGATCTTTATCAGTTATCTTATATTGCAAGAACTCTATGGGCTTCTTATAGGAATCGCTAGGAAATAAAGGCCTCGATCTATTGCCGATAGAAACCGGCTCTTATCACTATTAAATCAGAAATATGTCAACAAGACCCTCCATGTATTAAAGGAGGATAAGCTGCATAATGTATGTAATGTGCATCACAAATATATGTTACTTGTGATAAAAATCTTATCTCCGTATTTGCTCTGCTACTATAGAAATTACTGATATTAGAGTCTGGATACAAAGGACATTAGAGTACCTCATCTAAAATAAATTACACCCGCAATAAAGTAGATCCCTATGATTCACCCAAATGAACTATATACATATAAGAATAAATGAGAACGGAAAAGATTTGGATGGTGAAATTAAAAATTAGTTAATTATAATTAAGTAAAATTGATCAGTGGATCTGAGAGGGAGATAGATCTGCTGCCAGCTAAATTTAGAAAATTGAGACTGAAGCCGCTGTGGGCAAGACAATTAAAGAAGCGGAAAACTTGCTTTTTAGGCAGAGGTTTAAGGATGGTAAGATGATTTGCAACTTTATCTCAATTTTTGGATGAGATTATTTTTTGTGACTTTGAATCCTCTCAGCAGGGATTGCTAAATGACAAGCCCCTGGTAAGCTCATTTCTCGTAGGCCTCATTACGTTTTGAACGTTTTCTGTGACTTCTCCAGTATTCTCCTACATTGATCAATCTTGTTAAATATTTTTCTTCACTTTTTCCCGATCGCGATTACTCTCCGCTAGATTGTAGACGCCTATTTGTGTGAGATAGAACCTCTATCTGCTCTATTCCATTCGCGGTTTATTGCGGATGGATTACACCAATTTTTACCAACGAGTTTTATATTGATAATAGATATATGTACATCTTTACATAGAGTGTTCCATTATTATTTGGTGTTTCGAGCAATATCTTTCACTTGCGGTTACTATAGTGGATAAGTACGAACCTATAGGCGTCCTTTTGTGCTAGGTCGAGCTATACTTTCAATTAAGGCACAAAATTAATTTATTTAAATTAAATTAGTATGTACTTTGTCTTTATCTCAACCCGTGAGTTAGTCCGATTCTTACTAGTTTCTCTCCGCAGCCACTCCTTTCTACGATCTAGCGATCCCCTCAAGTACGGGAATAAAACTAGGCTACACGATCCAACGTTAGTGATGCCCGTTTGCTTAATAGAACACTTGTCATGTTCACCACTCAATTGGAACTCAGTCATTCTAGCACGCAACTAAATGTCTATAATCCCAAGAGTCCTCCTTTCCATTATGGTTTGTAAAGTAGATGCATAGACAGACGGGCGTATTTATGAGAGCGTCACTCTCTAGCGATCGTAAGATGACGCAGCAAGTTTTGGGCTTTTTTGGACTGGATTTTCGTGTAAGTCACGGGACACCAGAAAAAACAAATAGTTTTTTGTGATGTAGCCGGCGCCGCCCGTCTCCCCACATTATAGAATGTTAGAATATCACATTTCTCTAAGCCTCCAGTGAATCATTCACGTTATTCCTGCTCACAAGGTGTTATACGAGATGGCACAATATATGGCGCTTGTTACAAATCGCAAACATACTTTAGCGCTCAGAGTGCGTACAAAACTCCATACCACTCTCAAGTAAACAAGCCGAAGACTAAGAGTCATTATACAGCAGCTCTCTTCACAAGCAAAGTTAAATAGTATAAGCCTCATTGACTGCGCCCACGCCATAGTGTGCTAGGGTACAATCACTATATCCTCCTCTCATGAGAGACAACTCTTTACTAATATCAATTTGGGTTTCTCTTCCCTACTCCTGCACTCTTGCATGCACCTTATCTTGGTCCTTTGCACTTACAACACTTTGTAACTCAGTGTACGCTGGCATGTGTTAGTGTGTACTCGCTCGCTTTATATGGTGTGTCTCATATTATCAACGCAATTGTGGGTAGGCTCACCGCCGTTGTGTCCTCAAGTGAATCGGGAATAGATCGCAGCTGGATGTCAAGAAGAAGAATGTGGTTGAGTGATTAGACAACTCTCGACGAAAGCTTTTTCTAAGTGAGAATATATGCCTTTCCCCAAGGTTCTAAAAAAGCATGGCGCGCGTCTGCAATGCGCTGGAAACGATAATCTTTCTCTTGGTCCAGGACCTCACAAACAGAATTCTTGTGGGTCCGTCTGACGAGCCACCTCCCAGTCTCTACGGACCGTCCACTCAGTGTGCATGAGGCGAATTCCAAACGGTAGAGCCGTGTGTCAATAGGCCGTGTGTCTAGCGGGTCCATGTTATGCGGTGTTGACCCCTGCCGGTATCGCAGGCCTCCAGTGTCAGCGCGACCGTTACGTATGAGTTCCCAAACTGCTGATATCCGGTTTCAAAACATCACAAGACAAAAAGTATCAAAAAAAAATTAGCAGAAACTGAAATATGAGTGAATGGATAGTACGCCAGAGACTTTCTGGAGAGATGCGACGGAGGAAGGCGGTCCCAGAGAGAAAGAGGATATGAGGTAGTCATGAAACTTGCGTGGAAAGCCATAGACGAGGACCGCTAACGGAGACCGTAGCGCTGGAAGGAGGAAAGAGTACAAATGATGCCAACGTTCTGAGCACAAGTAAGAAGAAGCAATCGCTCAAATGAGTTTGTTAAACGTCATCTCGCTAAAGGAAGCCAATATGCCTCTCTATTAGTAGAGACTAGAATCCAGAACGGCTTGCTATTCATCAACCATTTTGTTTGTGTGCATACGTGGTCTAAAGGAAGTGGCTGTTATGATGTGTGTGAGAACCAAATAAATAATAATGTTGTTGGCATAGTGGTAGCTCCGTACTCTTAACCCCAAACCTACTCCCGTACCTATCACGTATATCTCCAGTGGCAAGCCCCAGATGCCCAAGCCACTAGTTGTCAACTTATCTCCCTCTTTTACTTTCGTCATGTTCCTAGTGATATCCTGCAAGTTTATTTGGCCTAAAATATCTAGAAAAACATAAAACACTATAATATAATTATTGATACATTTTTATACATGTCAAATTTTTTTTGATTAGTTTATTTTATTTTTATTTACTAGTTATCCAAAAAGAGAATGAATATTACAAGTGATCCAACACCCCAAACAAAAAAATTCTTTATAATTTATTTTTTTAATTTTTATATGATTACATTAGCATGTATTAATTTATTTTTTAGAAACTATTCAAATTAAAAAGTTGCATATGCTTCCACAAGTATAATAATTTAAAAAAATAATTCTATACATCTAAATCCCAATTAATTTTTATTTTATTTTATTTTATTTTTTTTGTTGTTGCCACAAGCATAATATGGATTTATGACATATAAAATCATTAATTATTAAAATAAAATGTAAAAAATTCAGTTTATAGTGATTTAAAAATATGAAATATAGTGGATAATATTTAAAAATTTATAAAAATTGATCAATATTTATTTTAAAACCCAATAAATATGATTATGAAAAAAAAATATGTGTATCGGTAAGTTTTTTTTAAATTGTGCAAAAAATAAAAAAAATTCAAGGTTAAGGTTCCGGTTACCGCAACCATTACGCTACGGCCTTTACACTCTGTAACCACAACCGTGTCACCGCCATCGTTACGGCGACCGTAACCGCTTTTCAGAACCTTGGTTACACCTGTTGGAATATGTTTTCTAAGTAGGATAATTGTTTCTCTCTCTCTCTCTCTATGTATTAGTTTCAAATTGATTAAAGAAATTGTGAAGAGATATACCGAGAGGTAAGGAGATGAAGTTTTTGGTCCAAGGTCCTAAATATTTGATGGATAATAACTTCCTAAGGTTTTTTTTTTTTTTTTTTCCCAATGCATTTATGCAGTATATACTGAACTGTTGGATAAAGAAGTTCATTATATAAGTTTATTGGGAGGAGATGCATTAGAATTTAAATATTTGTGGGCTTGCTTTATAATTGGAAATCCAAATGATATGCCTCTTCAAATGCACTTAAAAATTGAATGTGAGATTGTTTATTTGGTAATACTTGCCATAGGCCATGTTTGGTGCTAATTTATCTGCTTATGGACGGAGCTAGTACTTTGGCCTTTCTTTGCTAGTTTCAGTTTTGGAATGTGTTTTATCTGTTCTTTTTTGATATCTTGTACAAACTTCATTTTTTTATTCAAATAATAATTAAACATGTAAAGAAACATTATATAAATTTTTTTTTCACCTTTATAGGTGAAGCATAAGATGCACCCGTCAATGTATGATGATCATACTGGATCTGAGAGATTAAGATGTAGCCAGAGGATCCTTTCAGCAAAAGAGTCTCGAGCATTTTCTTCCAAAACACGAGCTTGTTCAGAGTCATCATCCTGTGGTACACAAAGCGACTTAGAAGACCACTTTGACAAAGAATCCGGATCCTTATCCACAGAATCAGTGTTTGTTTATCTAAATGACAATCAAAATCGAAAACGAGTCCCAGTGGGCCCATTTTTTCAAGCAGATGTACCGATATGGACTGGGGAGATTTCTGAAAGTGACAGTAGTTGGTGTGGCTCACGGGTTTGGCCTCTAGAAAGTGGGGACAGAAGCACATATCTAATTGAAAGAGAACGCATTGGGAAAGGAAGGCAAGATTCGTGTGGCTGCCAACACCCTGGTTCTGTTGATTGTGTCAGATTCCATATTGCTGAGAAGAGGATGAGAGTGAAGCTTGAACTTGGCTTGGCCTTCAATCGTTGGAAATTCGATAAAATGGGTGAGGAAGTTGCACTTTCTTGGACGAGGGAGGAAGAAAAAAGATTTGAGGGCATAATTAAGTCAAATCCACCGTCTCTTGATAAGTGTTTCTGGGATGAAATTGTCAAGTCTTTTCTTAACAAAAGGAGGGACGAGTTAGTGAGCTACTACTTCAATGTCTTTCTTCTACGGCGCAGGGGTTACCAGAATAGGTCCACTCCAAGAAACATTGATAGTGATGACGAAGATTCAGAGTTTGGTTCGTTGACTAATGGATTTAAGCGTGAAGCAGCTAAATCTCCGGGCTCCATTTTCCGTTCCCCAAAGAAACCACACTTGAATTTCAGATAGGTATAAGGATCAAGGGTTTTGCTCAGAAATCTAAATTCCATATTTTTATGTGGTTTTTCATGTTCAGCAATTTCAATGGAAATACACCCCTTCATCACCGAGAATCACAAGTTTGGAATGGTAGTTTGAAAGGTAACCTTTGGCTTCAGGTGTTTTTTTGAGAAGGTTGATGTAGGAGCATGACGACTGAAGCAGTTGAAAGCGTTTTTGGTTCACGTTTTTTTGTTTTGTTCTGATTGTGTACTTCTGATTTTCTGTCCATTCATCATGATTCCCAACATGTGGTACAGGTACTATTGCTTTTCATACCTTTTCTTTTTTCTTTTTTTTTTGTCTCTCACTGAGTTACTTGAATGGCAAGGTTGGTCCAAAACCAGAAACCTTAGGATTGTAGGGAGGACTTAATTTTATTGAAGATATTGTAGAATTTGAATTGTAGTCCATCTGAGAAAGAGTACATGCCCTTGTTGGTATGAGGGTCTTCAAACATGGTTTGCGAGAATCTCTTTTGCTTCAACCATTTGCATTTTGGTCTCTCCATTCTCTCTCTCTCTCTCTCTCTCTCTCTATATATATATATATGTATGTGCATCCTCTCACTTAACTATGGGTAGGGTTGTAACCAAGCCTAGTCGAGTTGTGTAGTAGCTTGACTTGTTTACATAACAAGATGATTTTGAACGAGCTTTTAGCAAGCTGAATACGAGTAAAATTTGAGGAAATTGGTTCATTTTAGAACCCTAAATATAGGTGCATAAAGTGATTTAATGTCGTTACTTTTGATATGGAACTACCTTTTGAAAGGTAACATTATCCTTTTGGCTGCTTTTTGTTTTGTGCAGTAAAGGGCCTTTTTGACTTAGTTGATCAGCATATGGGATACTTGCCTCTTTTCAAATATTATTTGGAAGATAAGGAAAGGAAAGGAAACTTAACATGCATGATTATCAATGTGTGTATGCTTATATGGTTTAAAATATAACCTTGTAGATGTTACTTAACTAGAGGAGTTTCAAAAACTCAAATCCGGAATTGATTTATGCTTGATAAAAATGATAGGAGGGAGTGACTGGCGCATGGCAATCTTCTTTGGACGGGACCATAGGAGTCCCTACCTGTTGGGTAGTTTGACATGAGAGGCCTAGATAATGGGCTTGCAAATGTGGGGGATCCACTAGCGTTCTCTCAAGTTGGCCTCAAGTCGTAGGGTGCCCTACCCTAATAGAGGGGGCATAGGCATAATAACAAGCCGGTGGCATGAGTTTCATGCTGCAACAACTGCCAGTGAGACTCCCAACTCATAACCTTCTATGATCCTATCCACCAAATTGTTGGGGACTAAGCCCTTCAGCACCAGGCGCCACCACACAGGTGGTTTTTTCATCAATTTCAATTTGTTTCTAGTTTAGGTGTTTCACTTTTTATGACGTGTTTGGTTCATGGAAATGAAGTGGAATGAAATGATTATTTTAATATAATCTCCAATTTCACGTTTGGTCACTAAAAAAATTGATGAAAAATATATTACACGTAGAATTATAATTCACTATTGTGAGAGACTAGTCATTTTAGGGGATAACAATTCATTCCCTTCCTGTGTTCCAAATTTTGAAGTTGGCCAGCCCTTCTTGCAAGGAGTTTGGCCCTACATTTATGATTTTTTTTATAAAGACCCTACAGAGAATTAGAAGGAGTTTTAGTACAGTCTGTCAACACAAATTGAAAGTGCCTATCCTTATTGGAAGGTCTTATCTTCAATGCTTGTTAGAGAGTTGTACATGAATGCAATGCAACTTTTGAGCCACATAAAGAGGTAAAGACATCATGTGACACCTATTTATTTTTTGAGAAATATGTGACCTATTTATTTATGCATCTTATCCCACTAGGAGTCTTCCTGGCTATTTCTAAGGTTCACTTTGCTCCAACATTATTGTCCATTTGTATATGTATATGTATATATATATATATATCTTATAAATACAAGTAAAGATCCAAGGGTTGACCTGATGGACTCGAGATGTTTCTTTATAACACATGATGTTTCTTTTTAAATTTTACTATTGTGAGTGTAACTTCTCTTTCATTATTCCCCTCTTATCGATTGTATATAAAAATATAAATAAAAATAAAAAACCGTATAAATAATACTAGGATGATTGGCGTTGTTTCCTTACATAATTTTTATATAGAATCGTGGCACATTTGGTAGTGGCATTTTAGTAATTAGAAGGCATTTTGTTGGATTTGTACTTGTAATAAATATAAATTCAAAAGGTAGGGCATATTTTTACACTATATATTATGGGCATTTAAGTTATAGAGTCTAAACTCAAAGTTGGTGGAGAAAGGTCTCAGACATCCCTTGAACAAGTTTTGCCCACGTTTCAATACCTAACAAAATCCCCTTTGAAATGTTCCACTCTCAGTTCAAAAAAAAAAGAAGAGAAAGTCCCACACACTTTTGCAACTAGGAGCTCTGTATCTATGGCCTGTCTGTTTGCTGAATTAAGGAGTGAATTATTAGGAAAAAAAAAAAAAAAACACCACTTTTCTTCTTTGATCGATGTTTGGCACAAAATGACTAATCTTGAGATTGTGCCTTTTCCTTCATATGAGGGGTCGTTTGGCAGACTTTTTTAGTTTTTTTGACTTTTTTAGTCTGAGACTTTTGTTTGTTTGGTTTTTTTGTTTGGCTTTTTTAACTTTTTGGCATTGGAATGGCAAAATTGCCCTCTACTTGGAAATGATATTTTTTTTTACTTTTTATTTATATATGGGTTAGTTTGGTAATTTTTTTATCTTTTTGTGATTTTGTAATTTTTTTTGTTGTCTTTTTGAGATTATTTAGTCCAAAATAGTTTGCCAAACCAAGGCTGAGTGATGGGATTAAATGGGAATAACTAATCCCACCTATGTGGGATTTGTTAATCTCCTTTGGGATTATCTTCGCTTCCTATTTTGTCTTTTGTCTTGTATTAATGAAACTTAGTACAACTAATCTTATGAAACATATAATTACAATGTTTTAAAAATCAAACCAATGAACGAATTAGAAAAAAGATTGGGTGGACGGATCACTGATTCAACTGTCGAGTTGAATCGGAATCGAACTATGACGTCATAAATATATTAAATAAACATATAAGTAATAAAATTATAAATTAAAAAATATTGATAATGTTAAATTATCTTGAATATTTCTCAAAATATTTTTTTTACTAAAAAATATAATAATATATTTTAAAATATTATTAATTTTAATTTTGGAATAAGAAACCAAATATTTAATATTTCTTCTATATGATTTTAATTCAAATAATTTGATCGAAAAAGAGCAAAAATTTTGGAGGGATGTCAAAATTTTAAGTCTCCCTTCAATAAATTTGATTGAATCCCATATGGATTTCTTAAGTTGTTTTAAAAGAATTTTTTTCTTAAAAGACTTTCACAATAATTTCAAGAAAAATGTTTTAAAACTCTAATTCTTGAGCTCTAAAGTTAGCTCTAATGAGTTGGTTGTGGATCCCATCCATTGTGATGTGATATTTTGGTCTTGATTTGTTTTTTTTTTTTTCTCTTGCCATGTCATTAGTGCTTTATTAGAATATCAAAATTAGTGTTCTGAATCATTGCTGTAATTTCAAACTCTCAATGAGATTTCTCACAAGAGGAAACATTTGAAAGAAAGCTTCTAAATAAAATTTTCTTATATATAAAATAAGAAAGAAAGAGAAGAAAAAAAGAAAGAATAATAAAATGGAAATGATATTTTTTTTTTTACTTTTTATTTGTATATGGGTTAGTTTGGTAATTTTTTTGATCTTTTTGTGATTTTGTAATTTTTTTTGTTGTCTTTTTGGGATCATTTAGTCCAAAATAGTTTGCCAAACCAAGGCTGAGTGATGGGATTAAATGGGAATAACTAATCCCACCTATGTGGGATTTGTTAATCTCCTTTGGGATTATCTTCGCTTCCTATTTTGTCTTTTGTCTTGTATTAATGAAACTTAGTACAACTAATCTTATGAAACTTATATTTACAATGTTTTAAAAATCAAACCGGTGAACGAACTAGAAAAAAGATTGGGTGGACGGGTCACTGATTCAACCGTCGAGTTGAATCGGAATCGAATCATGACGTCATAAATATATTAAATAAACATATAAGTAATAAAATTATAAATTAAAAAATATTGATAATGTTAAATTATCTTGAATATTTCTCAAAATATTTTTTTTACTAAAAAATATAATAATATATTTTAAAATATTATTAATTTTAATTTTGGAATAGGAAACCAAATATTTAATATTTCTTCTATATGATTTTAATTCAAATAATTTGATCGAAAGAAGAGCAAAAATTTTGGAGGGATGTCAAAATTTTAAGTCTCCCTCCAATAAATTTGATTGAATCCTATATGGATTTCTTAAGTTGTTTTAAAAGAATTTTTTTCTTAAAAGACTTTCACAATAATTTCAAGAAAAATGTTTTAAAATTCTAATTCTTGAGCTTTAAAGTTAGCTCTAATGAGTTGGTTGTGAATCCCATCTACTGTGATGTGATGTTTTGGTCTTGATTTGTTTTTTTTTTTTTTTTCTCTTGCCATGTCATTAGTGCTTTATTAGAGTATCAAAATTAGTGTTCTGAATCATTGCTGTAATTTCAAACTCTCAATGAGATTTCTCACAAGAGGAAACCTTTGAAAGAAAGATTCTAATTAAAATTTTCTTATATACAAAATAAGAAAGAAAGAGAAGAAAAAAAGAAAGAATAAAAAAAAAAGAAAGTTAGAAAATATCAAAAGAAAGTTTAAGGTTGCGTTTGGTAGAGTTTTTTAAATATTATTTAAGAATAAAGTTGTATTTTGAATTTGTGAGTTTTAGAATTATGATTTGAGTGTGGAAAATTTGTTTGGTGAATGAGTTTTGAATTGAGTGAGGAATTTTTGATGTGACATGATATTTGATATAAAAAATTTACAATTCATAACCAAATACACAACTCAAAATTCTATTAAAGCTCATAATTTTTTTTTTAAATTCAGAAAATATTTTTTGTTGAATATATAAAAATTAACATGTGTCAATTGCAAAAAAAAAAAAATTGCATTGTTCCGGTCAACCGGCCGGACGACCAGTTAGTCTAAATTTTTCCGTCTTCGACCGAGTTCTTAAAAGTGAATGTGAAATTAATTTTTGAAAGCCACAACCAAACACCATATGCAAACTAAGAGCTGGAATCACAATTCCAAAGCTCTTCTAAACAGAGCCTAAAATTTTTATTTTTATCAACCCGACCGACTCACTTGACCCGTCATCGGGTTGACCAGTTCGGCGGTCCAACCTTCGATTTTTTTGGTTCTCTCTAAATAGGCCGTTTTTGGATTGGAACGGGTTAGAGAGTATATCCGAATTGAAATCCCAATTGATCGACAATTCAACCAGTTGAACCGGCTAGTCCTATCCGATTTTTAAAACCTTATAATCACATCTATTTTCTTATGATATTACTTTTGATTATGTCCATAATGTCA